CCCCGTTTGCTGTCGCGTTCAGACTGTCTCTAGGGATATCCCTGTCTCTGTGCGAGTTTGTTTGTGTCCTCGTCTTTGCTTTATTCTGTTTTATTTTGTCTTTTGTTTTGTTTTTTACTGGCACGTACCCCCGCCCCTTCCTTTGGCCGTCGACCTGCCTCCATGTAGTGGGAGGCTACCCCCCCAGGCTGGTGGTGCGGCCGTTCCACTATATATTAGTCTAATTATTTATTTTATTTTATTTTATTTGTTTCTGACTATATTTTGTTTTCTTGTATTTTATCGCTCTGCTGACCCTTGGGGTCCATTTTATTTTGGTATACCTTTTCTAGGTACGTTAGCCTGTGACCACGGAAATTGGCCGAGTCAAGTGATGGATTAGTACGGAGAGGTTGAGACAGAAGGAGGTACTGGATAGAGAGACCGGGATGGTTTTTAATGTGAAGACAACAACAACAACAACAACAACAACTCATAGGAGTCACGGAGTAAAGGATGCTCCTATGTACCTTGACGACGAAATTGTGGCGGGGATAGTTTGTCGTAGCACGCGGCGAAAATTGTGCCGGTTCGACATTCATTGTGGTTTTTACCTTCAGCACGTGCGTGTATAACAAACTCTACAGCACATGCGTGTGGACCTCCTCTAGTGTTGTAAATCCTTTGGCCGAAAAAATAACTTGGGCGAAAACACAGGCCAAAGCAAATGTTGCTCGACAAAACAAGGAGGACTCAAATTCAAGCAAGAGTGTGTATCATTGGCATACAAGCTATGTACAACCTGCCTCGCATGTGATACCATTCGCCCCCGGTGGTTCAGTTGGTAACCTCGTAAAGCTAGGTTGTGGGTTCGAGCCTCGAAATGAGTGAAAATCTTGCAATCGAGCAGTTAATAGCAAAGCTTATTTCGTGAGTAAACAACCTTGGCCTCTTTGTTGATGAGAGAAAGGGACGACCGCGCCATTCTCGCGATAAAAACTGAGGCAAGCACTGTGTTCGTATGCCCTTGATGTTTGCTTCGGAGACCAGATAATGAGGTTTACCAGTGTGTATTAGCTCGCACCAGAGACAGGGCGAGGGGAGAGAGAGGAGTGAAAGACATATAGAGGCACATCACAAAAAGTAACCTCGTCTATATCCAATCCTACCAATAGTGTCGAACCGATACATTGACGTAACCGTCACTTTGGGAAGAGTCACACCGCATTGCACGAACACACTGTACGAGAAAAAGTGGGGCAAAGGTTTGGACTAAAAGCAGCACTTTTTTCAGACAGACCCTGCGGTATGTTGTTGAACATTTAGAAATCGACAGTCGATAGCATAACGGTGGCTTTCTCCCCGACATTTTTGCTATTTTGACTTGCTTTGATAGATTTCTACACAGATTCTGTCATAGACTACGTATCAGGATGGAAGTCCCTATATCCACATGGCCTCCACATCAGGATGAAAACCCCTCAAGCCGGGCCCTTATTTCATGCGCTGACCACAAAGCATCCGTGTAGTGCACCCCGAATTAACACGAAACAGCCCCGAAATGACGTGCTTAGGGCCCTGTACACAAAAAAACCCGTTCAACTCCTCCGGGAGCCAGGCTCTGGTCAGCATGCTCATCCCCGTAGACACAAGTTGCCGGCCGTGTTGCCCCCGCTGCAGTAATTGCGCCTGGCGTTCAGGCCCACCATCATCCCGTGCCACTCTCGCCCTTGTTCTCGCGGGGAAGAGGGACACAGAACACCCCTCTTCCTCCGCACGAAACGGGTGAAAAAAGTCCGGCATGACCATACATATCTGCAGCGGGAAATATTGGGGGCATTGATATTTGTGCAATTGCACATTGAAACACGCACACCTTCAAAAGTCCGGTGGTACACTGCGTTTTAGACCACTTATCCGGGAAAGGGGAGCGAGCCCAGCTGCCTGTAGGACCTACAAAATAAACAAATCACACCTTCAAAAGCCCTCGGGTAGGCCACGCTTCTGACCGCCCGCCTCCCCGGGAGCCTCTCCTCCGTGCTGCCCTCCGCCCGCCCCCTCCTGGTCCATTGGCTCGGCTTGAGCATGACCGGCCCCGCCGTCTCCATCTCCGGCGGCGGCCTCCTCTGCTTGGGCTTGGACGACCCCACCCTCGTCCTCTCCGGCTGCGCCCGAATCTCCACCGGCGGCGGCCGAGGCTCCACCGGCGGGCTCATCCTCCTCGTTTTCTACAGAACCTCCCGCGCCTTCGGTCGCAGCTTGAACAGGGAGGAAGGAAGATTTAGGGAGTGTGTCAACGAGCTGTGGGTATCAAAGGGAGAAACTACATCTCTCTCTCAAATGGTGTTTGCCATTCACGCGCGCACCTGTGTCTGCTGCTGCATTTTCTGCAGCGTCGTCTGCAGAAAACGCTCTTGCTCCGCCTGCTGGTCTTGCTGTAGCTGTTTCTCCAGGCGATGTTGCAGGTGTTGCTGCTGCACCGACAGAGCAGCTTCTGGTCCCGTTGCTCTAGACCGGGCTGGTGCTGTAGCTGGTACCGCTCGTCCCTCTGCTGGCACTGCTGCAAAGCAGTGTGACATGCCTACTGCAGTTGTGACTTGTGGGAGAGTTTTCAAGGGTGGGAGGAGTCGTAGATGTGCGGAGAGTGGGACTTGCCCCTGTCCGCGCCGTTCGGTATCCACAACACGGACCTGGAAGATTCGGACATTGAATACTTCACATATCCGCGTTGATGTGCCGGGGATCATTCGNGATGTCGCCGACGGTGGGTCTGCGTCACAGCAGAAGGTAGGTAAACGTGCAGCACAGAGGGGGGTGTAGCGTGGGAGAGGAGGACCAGCCGTTGTCGGGCCATTTGGTGTGTGTGGTGTTCGAAGCGTTCCAAGAGAGCCCCGTTGGCAAGCAAGTGTGTGTGTGTCGGCCAATAAATTGCGAAATATTTCATTGTTTTCGTCTCTCAACGTTCAACAGGAAAATGCGTGCCCACCAAGCGCGGTGGGTTGTCCACAAATGACCCCGATTTTTCAAACTTCAAGAACACGATGAAACATGCACAGTTAGTTGTGGCAAGAAGATGAACCCAGCNTGCGAAATATTTCATCTTTTTCGTCTCTCAACGTTCAACAGGAAAATGCGTGCCCACCAAGCGCGGTGGGTTGTCCACAAATGACCCCGATTTTTCAAACTTCAAGAACACGATGAAACATGCACAGTTAGTTGTGGCAAGAAGATGAACCCAGCCCTTACATTGAGACTCAGCTCTCGCGCCGATGAGACTCAGCTCTCGGTTCACACCCTCCGGCCGAA